CCGCAGCACCCGCTGGCTCTACTTCAACGTGACGGCCTTCGGCGAGGAGCTGCACCTGCGCGTGCGGCCCAACGGGCGCCTCGTGCCGCCGGGCGCCGCCGCTGAGTGGCACGAGGACTTCGCCGTGCGCTCCCGGTGGCCGCTGCGCCAGCGCTGCCTCTACACGGGCGGCATCTCCGGCATGCCCAACGCCGCTGTGGCCATCAGCAACTGCGACGGGCTGGTAAGCGCGCGGCCACCCGCTGCGACACGCGTGTTTCCTGTTGGGTGCTCAATCCTAAGGGATCTGCTTGGGTGGCTCTGGGGAGGCGCCGGGCTGGTTTTTGGATGTCCCTTTGCCTATGGCTCTTTCCGACTCTCAAAAACCCCCATATATCCCGTGTTCCATCCTGCTGGGTGAAGCGTGTGGGACTCTTTGCTCTTCCCTACGATTGCCTGGCATGCACAAAGAGTCTTGCCAAGCTGGCGTCCTCTCCAAGGAGCCTTTCTCCATCACCTCTCTGTCCTCCTACCCCACTTTGGATGTGCTCGGAGAAGTCCCACTTGGATTACTCGTTGCCCTTCGGACTCCCTTTGGGCCCATGCGGTCTCTGTTGTTAGGTGGAGCAAACTTCTCCCTGCGCTTTCTTTTCTTTTCTTGCGTCTCTTTTGTTGTTGCTTTATTTTGGGAGATCCTTAGCTATTTGGGGCCGCTGGCGTAAATGGATTGGCATTCCTTTCTTTTTATATAATGCGGAGTGGTGCTATACGGGCAGAAATGACAGAGCGATACCCACCAAAATATACATATTTCACCTACATGTGGTTTATTTTTGCCGGCAACTTTACCAAGTAACCCAAAATAATTTTTGAAGTGCCTTTTTTTGGGCATTTTTCTTCTCAAATTGAAGCAGCGGGAGGTCTGCTGGCCTAGCCCTTCTTTTCGGCAGCGCTTCTTTTGCGGTGGCAAATGGGCGCGCTGGTCTCCAGCATCGATATCCCACGGGCTGGCCAAGCGTGCGTGGAGATTGCGGGCTGGGAAAGAGCTCCAAGGATGAGGCTCTGCTCCCTCCCGGTGGGAGGGACATTTGGATGGGGACGCTGGGAATACCGTTGGTTGAGCCAGCGCAGGCAGGGAGTGGGATTTCCCATTGGCACGCCGTGATTGCCGTTGACTTTTCCAGAGGTTATGCATGGACTTGGTGAAGGGATTAGGGCTTATACGTCTCCGGCGTGTGTGGGAGCTGCCGGATCTCCTGGCTACTGGATGAAGCCTTGTGGGCTGTTGCAGATGGGGACTGTGTATGCAAAGTGATGCTGCTGTGTATAAACCCAGGCTGGCTTTATAAATAATTTGCAATCCCTTTTTTTTTTTTTTCCCAAGCGCTCGCTTACTTTTAAATCTTCCTCAAATCCCTATTCAGTCACTGTCCCCCTCTACCCTTCCTGGCCTCCCGGGTGTTTTGCTGCTCGCAGAACTCGTTTGCTGGGAGCATCGGGATGAGCAAAGGAGCCAGAAAATCTATTCTCTGGCTTGAATTTGGGTGAAAAAGGATGAAACTTCCGCTGTATCCTCCAGTGCCTGCATCGTCCGTCGTTCCCGGGTCCTGTTCGCTCGTCCTGTTTGCAGCATCTCTGCCACCCGGCCCCGCTTTCCGGGACGGTTTGTCCAAATGAAGTGTGAAACACAGAGGAAAAACACACACTCGGCACGCACGCCTGCGTCCCCGCGCCGCGCTGCCCCGGCTGCCTGCAGCGAGTGCGTTTATTCATTTTTCCACATTCTAGCCGCAGCGCCGGCGCTTCCCGAATTCCCCTGGGAATTCGCTCTCCTCTGCAGCTTCTCCGTGGTGGGGAATTCCACCCCGCCGCAGCCTGCAGAGGCGGCGAGGAGCTGGAAAAGAGCCCCAGCAGCAACGAGCCTGGGGGCTGAAAAAATACGTGGTGCGTGTTTTTCTTTTTCTTTTTTTCCCTTTTCAGTGGAATTTGCTTCAAAGGGCTGTTTTCTGGTGTGCTAATCACCGGGATTGCAAGCAGGCAGCATCTTGGATCAGGAATCTCACTAATGCTAATGCTTGCCAAAGCAGCCAGAATTTTGCTCGATTTTAAGTTCTGCTCCCACCTTTGGAAATGCTGGTGGGGAAAAGGTACCTGGCGGATGCTGCATGCACCCAAGTCCTTAACCATGCTCACCCTGACTTGTGGGGCACGTCCTCACTCTGAGACCCGCCACTCAGCGAGTTGGAGGAAGGAGAAGATGAGTGGGAATGCGGGGAGGAAGAGAGAAGCTCAGGAAGGGGAAGAAGAACAGGGACCTGAGCGCGAGGAAGAGGAGCCGGGAACGCGATGAAGCACCGGATGGCCGCAGTGAATGCAGGCCCCGCATGAATGCGGAGGGGATCAAGTGACACAGGCGGGCTTGGAAGAGCCCCAGCTCGCGGCGGCTGTTTACAAAGTCCAGCTGGGCCTCGGTGCTGCCGGGAAGCGCTCGCGCTGCTCCCCACAGTCCATCCGTAGCTGCTGGATGCTATCGGAGCCACGAGGGAGCTGTCGGCTTGGGGTCAAAAGGGGACAGCATGATTTTTTTGCATGGTTATTTCCCATCACC